GTTGCAAGATTTCATGCTTTTTCATCGCCAAGTAGCATTCCATTGTATATATAAACCACATCTTTTTTAAAAAAAATTTTTATTTACTTTTGAGACAGAGAGAGAAACAGCGTGAGCAGGGGAGGGGCAGAGAGAGAGAGAGGGAGACACAAAATCTGAAGCAGGCTCCAGGCTCTGAGCTGTCAGCACAGAGCCCGATGCAGGGCTCAAACCCACAAGCTGTGAGATCATGACCTGAGCCAAAGTTGGACACTTAACCGACTGAGCTACCCAAGAGCTCCCCTAAACCACATATTCTTTACCCATTCATCAGTTTATGGACATTTAGGCTCTTTCCATAGTTTGGCTATTGTTGATAGCACTGCTATAAATATTGGGGTATATGTGCCCCTATAAATCAACACTCCTGTATCCTTTGGAGGAATTCCTAGTAGTGCTATGGCTGGGTCGTAGGGTAATTCTATTTTTAATTTTTTAAGGAGCCTCCACACTGTTTTCCAGGGTGGCTGCACCAGTTTGCATTCCCAACAGTGCAAGAGGGTTCCCCTTTCTCTGCATCATCGCCAGCACCTGTTGTTGCCCGAGTTGTTAATTTTAGCCACTCTGGTGTGAGGTGAAATCTCAATGTGGTAGTGATTCGTATTTCAGGGAGGCTTATTTAAAACACAGATCGCTGGGCCCCACCCTGGGAGTTTGTGATTCAGTAGTTTGGGATCTGGGCTGAAAATCTGCCTTTGTAACCAACTCCCAGCTGCTGCTGGTTCTGCTAATCCCAGGGGGCCATGCTGAGCTCCCCCCTACCCCCACTTGTCAGTAGCCTTGGGTTTGAATCAAAGCTTTGCCTTGGCCTTGGCAGGTGACCTCGGGCACTTCGCTGGCTGTAGTTACCTTCTATTTAAGACGACGGGGTGTATCTGGGATGTGGGGATCTCTAAGCCCTTCCACACAATGAATCCTGGGCTCTATGGACGGGATTTTTGGAGCCACGGCAAAGCAGCAGCCCCTGGTGCTCCCTGTCTGGGGGTGGGGGATGGGTGGGGGGAGAGACCCTGATGACCTGGAAACTTACAGCAAGGTTTTAAAACATAAAATTCCGAATATGAATCCAACTGCTTGTGATTTGTTCTTTCTCCTGGGTGAGAAGGGCAGAAAAGATTTGATTCATTCAAGCTCCCAGGGTGGGAGGAACAAGCCAAGAAAGGCAGAACTCTGAACCAGAGGTCAGGAGTTACAGGTTCCAGGTCTGGCGGGGTATGACTATGTCCTAATGTGTCCCAGATATCGAATGGGAGCATACGTATGCTAAGAACAAAACAAAACACGCAAACAAACAAAAACTATTGTTGGGGCACCTGCGTGGCTCAGTCGCTTGAATGTCCAACTCTTAGTTTCAGCTCAGATCACGATCTCTTGGTTTTGTGAGTTCGAGCCCCGTGTCTGGCTCTCTGCACTGGCAGAGATTCTCTGGGATTCTGGCTGGAATTCTCTCCCTCCTCCTCCTGTCTGCCCTTCCCCTGCTCACACTGTCTCTATCTCCCTCAAAATAAATAAATAAATAAACTTAACATTAAAAAAAAAAAATAACTGCTGTTTATCTGACATTCAAATTTACCTCGGTGGTCCTGTCTGTTCACTTGCTGAATCCAGCCATCTCTCAGATTCTCACTCACTTCCTCCAAGACAGGTGATATTGTGTCCTCTCTCGAGTATAGGTAAGAAATGCTCATATTGAAGCACTGTCTGCAAGGGCCGAAAGACGGAAACAACCCAGATGTCCATCAGAGGATGAGCAGAGAACAAAAATGCGGTATATCCATACAGTAGAATATGAGTGAGTCATAAAAAAGAATGAAGTACTGTATGGAAACATATACCACAAGGGGGAACCTTGAAATCATGATACATGAAAGAAGTCAATCACAGAAGGTGAGCTTTTGGGGCACCTGGGTGGCTCAGTCGGTTAAGCGTCCGACTTCGGCTCAGGTTCGTGGATTTGAGCCCCACGTCAGGCTCTGTGCCGACAGCTCGGAGCCTGGAGCCTGCTTTGGATTTCGTGTCTCCCTCTCTCTCTGCCCCTCCCCTACTCACACTCTGTCTCTCTTAAAAAAACAAATAATAAACATTAAAAAAAAAAAGGCCAGCTTTCTATGGGAAGAAAGGGACATTAATGAGACTGACCTTTCCCATCTTCCAAACATTTTCTGTTTATATGAAATACGATTCCATTTGTATGAATTATCCACAGCAGGCAAAGTCAAAAAGCAGATGAGTGGTTTTCCAGGGGCTTGGGCAGAGGGGAATGGGGAATGACTGCTTCATAAGTATGGAGTTTCCTTTTAGGGTGATGAGAATATTCTGGAACTAGATAGTGGTGATGGTTGCACAGCACTGTGAATGTACTAAATGTCACGAATGGTAAGTCTTATGTGTATGTTACTATGGTAAAAAAAAAAAAAAAAAAAAAAAGGAATTGCTCATGGTAACCTCAATATATCCCCTCCTGTGTCATGGGTTGAATTGTGTCCCCCAAAAAGATATGCTGATGTCCTCACCTTATTACCTGTGAATGTGGCCTTACCTGGAAATAGGGTCTTTTGCAGACATAATCAACTGAAGATGAGCTCATTCATGTGGGCCCTCATCCACTATGACTGGTGTCCTTATAAAAAGATGTGCGGAGACACACGGGAGAAAGAATGCCACGTGACTAAAGAGGCAGAGACCATGGTGTTCCAGCTGGAAGCCGAGGAATGCCTGGGGCCACCGGAAACTGATCAGGGTAAGGAACCTCTCCTAGAAGCATGGGGGATGGGGGGCACTGGCATCACTTGGATTTCAGACTTCCAGGCTGCAGAGCTGGGAGAGAATGCATTTCTGCTGTCCTAAGCCTCCATGTTTGCGATGCTGTTACAGCAACCCTAGGGAAGGAATACGCCATGGGACCCGGACCACCCCCCTTTCAGTACTCACCCCCATGTTGACCCCATGCCATCTCTCTCTCTCTCTCTCTCTCTCTCTCTGTCTCTGCTTCCCTTCTTTGGGGAAAGCAGCATAAACAGGGCATCCCCTGAGCATCTTTTCTCTCCCTCCCCCACCCCCAGCTGGGCTGGAAACCTCCCTCCGGGGGCTGTTCAAAGAAGCACACAGCCACAGATGCATCATTCCATTGCCTCAGTTTTAAATATTTATTTAAAATCCAGAAGGGAAAAAGGAGAAACGGAACCCACTGGGGTTTTAACACACTGACATGTGGACAGACACAAACAAGGACAGCAGAAAATCCCAAGAACGAGACAGAGGCCAGGTGGAGACTGGCGGTGTGGGGAAACCGAGGGCTGAGATGAGGCCCAAGCTGCTACAAGAACGCACTTCCGTGGGGAGCGTCTGGGTTGGGGCGGGAGGGCGAGGCATATACAGGAAGTGTCTGGTGGGGAAGGTGGGCCAGAGTGAGGTATTAAATAATGAAAATCAAATCCAATTCCCAAAGAGACACGACTTTTAGAGAAAATAAAAAAGAAGACACAAACAGACGTTCACATAAAACCTCCCCTTCTATAAAAATAATTCCATACTTAAAATAACCTCAAAATCCAACCTGGGCTGACTGGTTGATAAAGGACAGCCCAGATTACACTGACTATCCCCCAGTCACGCGGAACCCCGAGATTCCTGCCGTCAGTCTTTCTCCTCAGCCCACATTTACCCTTGGAGCTAATGACGCGGGGTTTCTAGAGGACTTAATGACAATGGAAAAGCAAGAGTGATGGCCTCATCTTGGCAGGGACAAGCTCTGGGAGGGAGGATGTGGTGTGGTGAGATGGTTCCATGTTGATATGTCACCTCCAGGCCAGCGCTGACCCAAAGCCGCTCTTAAAACTGGTTTCTTCAAAGTCAAGGCTTCAACCCCTGACTCTCCAGCTTAGATCGCAACTTCCAAGATAAGCCTATCTTCCCTCCAGGACCGTGACCAGGCCGAGCCCAAATTCCTTCATGCTCAGGCCTCCCCCTGCCTTAGAAGGACAAACATTTCAAAATCCATAAATTAAAAAGGTGAATCTTTCTGCTTCTGTTTCTGGTAGGGTTTTTTTTTTTTTTTTTCTTTTTTTTTCTTTTTCTTTCTTCGGCTTTTTTTTTTTTCTTTTTTCTTTTTTTTCCTTTTTCCTTCCCCCTGCTTAGTCGATTACCTGATGAGCACAAGGGTGATACTCGGAACATGTTCAAATTCCCCAAACTTTGTCATTTGGAGGAGAGCACCACATGTGCATGACACCCCACATCAAAACGGTTCTTCAGAGTCTGTGGCAAAAAATGGTAGCACCTTCAGAATCTTAAATAGGCTTTTTTTTTCCTTAAAAAAAAAATCACATACACTATGAGACAGCGAGCACCAGCGATTTCACAGTGGGAGGTAGCTAGCGTGGGCACCTCCGGCCCCGAGGGTCGCACTGCCCCCTCTCGGCCTCCACTGCTTCCCACCCTCTGGCTGCTTCTTCCCTCACCTCTTTCCCAGGTGAAAAAATAGTAATGCACCTTCTCTGTGTTTGTTTAAATAAAATATATATACTTCTTCCTTTCCTTTTCTCCTTTTTTCATGTCTCCTCTCTAATATTGCACATCAAAGCTCCCTGGCAGGGACCAGCTGGCGAGATGCCCCCTCCCCTCAAGCTGGCTAGAACGTGGGGCTCTTTGGGCAGGAAGCTGGGGAGGGCAGAGCTGGGAGACAGGCCGCAGGGCTCAGGCGGGTTGCAGGCCCAGCTTGCTCTGGCTGGCTCTTTGGTCGGTCTTTGGGGCTGAGCTGGGATCAGTTGGTCCCAAGGATACACTGTTCCCTGCCACCCCCCAGCCACTTTTACTGGGCAGACGACAGCTGGGGCCCTACCCAGGAATCCTTGGGCAGGTGAGCTGTCTCTCCTGGGCCCACCTGCCCCTAAGGACCCTCCCTTTGCCTCCTCCTCCTCCTCCCTCCCCCTCAAGGCCTAGAGGAGCCAGGAGGTCAGAGGTCAGAGGAAGCACGCAGGTCCAACTTCGAGGCGGTACTGCTTCCCTGATGAGGCAGGAGGGAGGTTGTCCACGCTGACGATGGGCAGCTGCTGCGGGTCCTGGGTCCGGAAGGTGAAAAGCGTCTGATGCCAGCGGCCATCCTGGACCTGAGAGAAGGGAAAGGGTACACATGTGACCCTCACAATTCCCACCATCTGTCACATGCACTTCTCATCTCTTCTCACCATCTTTAATGGATTCACGGTATTTCACTGTAGGGACCATCTGTATTTGCCCATTAAAAATTTTTTTTTATTTATTAAAAAAATTTTTAATATTTATTTTTAATTTTGAGAGAGAGAGAGAGAGAGAGAGAGAGAGAGAGAATGAGCAGGAGAAGGGCAGAGAGAGAGGGAGACACAGAATCCGAAGGAGGGTCCAAGCTCTGAGCTGTCAGCACAGAGCCCGACATGGGGCTCGAACCCACAAACTGCGAGATCATGACCCGAGCTGAAGTCGGACGCTTCACCAACTGACCCACCCAGGTGCCCCTGCATTCGTCCATTTAGATTGCATCTATTATTTCTATTCTCATAAGGAATGTCATTGGAGCTCAACTTCTGGGCACGTTCTCGTTTCCCTAGAACAGATTCTAGAAGTAGATTGGCTGGATCAAAGGATACATACGTTTCTGAGGCTTTGGAAATATGTTGGATATACAATCAAACCTTGGATTGTGAGTAACTTGTTCTGCAAGTGTTCCATAAGAACGAGCAAACATTTCTAATACATTTTAACTTGATAAACGAGTGATGTCTTGCAATACAAGTAGTATGTGACACTAAATGTCACATGATCACAACTGAGCCAATGGTTCTCTCTTTCTCTCTCTCTCCCTCTCCCAGCGGGATCGTGGGTGATCGTTTCCCATATTCGGATGCTGAGTCTTAGGCTGGGGTGTTTGGCAGAAATCAGTGATTTTTCAGAACGTTGAAGGGGGTGCCCACGACTGGCATTAGTGTATTTTTTGTCACTTCAAAGCACCTACAGACAGTCCTTTGCTCTTCCATACCAGTATAAGCTTAGGAATGCTTTGCTTCATTCTAGGCCAGGCTGCCTGCGGATATAGACCCTTCCCTCTGCTACCTTATTGCCAGTTACATTAAATACAGTACATGACAAGAGTTTATTAATACTGTCCTGTAGTCAACATCCGTGTGAGCATGTACAATGGCCCCCATGCAGAAATAGGTTGAAAAGAAAGCCAGTAAGAAGGAGACGATCACAGTGGAAGTTAAGAAGGAAATAAGTCATCGAGAAATACGAGCGAGGTATGTGAGTGGCCGAAACTGCAAGATTTTATAAGAAGTCTACATGTGCATCTCGTCTGCAGAGGAGGAGGAGAGAAAGGCAGAGGAATCCCTCACTTAAAATGAGCTTAGGGAGATGTGTAAAATGTGGGAAACAGTGAAGAATTTTGTAGAAAAGCGCCACCCGAATAAGGCTGTAGCAGCCCGAGCGATGAATCTGTTTAACAACAATACAACGTCACATTTCTGCGAAATCCTCAAAAGGAGGCAAAAGCAAGAATCATTGGATAGGTTCCTTGTTAAAGTTGCAGGAAAAGAGAAAGATTCCACTGAGCCAATAGACAGCAGTGATTCCGTTAGAGTGAAAGTCGTCCGACACAATAACCCTCCTCTCTCGTCTCCCTCACACCAGCCACCAAGGTTTTCAAAGGTAAGTGCAGGTTAATGTCTTTATTTTTCTTTATATTTTGTATTTTCTTTTATTTATTTATTTATTTATTTTTTTTTTATTTATTTTTGGGACAGAGAGAGACAGAGCATGAACGGGGGAGGGGCAGAGAGAGAGGGAGACACAGAATCGGAAACAGGCTCCAGGCTCTGAGCCATCAGCCCAGAGCCCGACGCGGGGCTCGAACTCACGGAGCGCGAGATCGTGACCTGGCTGAAGTCGGACGCTTAACCGACTGCGCCACCCAGGCGCCCCTATATTTTGTATTTTCTTTATTATTTTGTATTCTATTGCACTATTGTAATCATTTTTATATGAATATTTTTGGGTTGTGGAACGAATCATCTGAGTTTCCATGATGGGGAAATTCACTTTGATATACAAGTGCTTTGGATTACAAGCATGTTTCTGGAACGAATTATGCTCGCAAACCAAGGTTTTACTGTACAGGCAAACATCGTTTCATTGCACTGCGCTTTGCTGATCTTCACAGATGTGTGTTTTATAAATCAGAGGTTAGTGGCAACCCCCTGTGTCGAGCAACATGTGTCAGTGTCACTGTCTCGACAGCATTTGCTCACTTTGTATCTCTGGGTCACATTTTCATAATTCTCGCAACATTTCAAACTTTTTCATGACTATCATATTTGTTTTGGTGATCTGTGAGCAGCGATTATGATGCACTGAAAGCTCAGATGATGGCTGGCATTTTTTAGCAGTGAAGTATTTTTTTTAATGTTTATTTTTTTGAGGGAGAGAAACAGAGTGTGAGGAGGAGAGGGGCAGAGAGAGGGAGACACAGAATCTAAAGCAGGCTCCAGGCTCCGAGCTGTCAGCACAGAGCCCCACATGTGGGGCTTGAACCCATGATCAGGTCAGATCATGTCCTGAGCCAAAGTCAGACACTTAACCGACTGAGCCATCCAGGCACCCCGA